CGGCGTCCACTGTTGCGATCTTGACGAATGATTTCGTAGCATGATGGTTTCAGTTCATTCACAACAGCTTCATCAACAGAGGAACCTAACCAAGTTTCAGTCAATGCGACTAAGTCAAGGTCCTCTGTAAGTATATAGTCACATATTGATAGTGATAAATCAAGTCTATAAGTTATTATTTAATGCTTTATAAGACCTGCACTCTATGAATTGATTCATGGGTTCAGGCCCTCACCATGCATATCTATAAATTCCGCATTTCAGTATCAATTTCATTTTTTATATATAATAATTTCGTTTTCTTTATATAATAATTTCGGTATTTTTATTACATAATTTTGTTTTCTGTTTTAAATAATTTTGTTTTTATTTATATAATAATTTATTTCTGGTTTGCGCTGTTGTGCTTCCGTAGTTTTCTGATCAATTTTTGTCGTGTTAATGATAGTTAGAAATATCAAATGAAACTATTCTTACCAATTTTCGAGCACCAAAGTGTTCATACCCTCTATCGTTACAAATTTATCAAGAACATAGAGTACTGAACGTTTCTAATAAATAAGAAACATTGAAAACAAAACGGCAAGGAAAATGAGGCTATTCCCCTTTTCATTATTACAAAACAACCTCTATGTGGCTGTTAAAGCAATGTCACATAATATGTTTATTATTTCCCAACATACATCTCTTGAGACTAATTCGTTTCATTTCCTACCTTCAACATGCAGTCTTAGATAACCCTACTTGAGTACTTTTACTCTTTTTAATTGGGGCTGTTCATTTTGCCTTTTAATATGTAATTTAATTGCTTATACAAGTATAAAGACCTTGTAAATTTAGTCCTTTGCGCGATGGCAATGCAGGTAACTGCAATGCATTCGAAGTGGGTATTAGTCGGGTTTGTGATTTCTTTGTATGAAACCGATTGCCTTCCTTCTATTATGGGGAATGATTTATTAGACAATTCCGAGTCCCTTCAGGGTACTACGTCTGGAAAGGTTTCAAGTGTTCTTAGGGATATTTTAAATCAGGAAAGCTTGGTGCTCCTCTCTATGATACAGAAAATTCAAATATTGATGATGGATGTCATAGGCAACAGAAATATAACTGAAATTTTGATGAAAAAGCTGGATGTCATGACAGAAAAATTTCATGTCTTAGAGAAAAGACAGAGGAAAACTGAGGAGGAGAATACAAGATTTAAGGAGGAATTAAAATTTTTACGTTCCATAATAGGTGTCACTAGAAATCCTACATATGACAAAGTGTTACACTTAAATGAGACAGAAATGCCAATAATGAAGAAGCAAACTTCGTCTCCACAGAGAGAAAAACACCAATTAACTCGGGAAAATACAGAAATAAGAACACACATGGAAGGTTCTATCAGGAAATACATCATATGGAGAAATGACGTGCAGTTTATTCATGAGGTTGCTCCCACGTGATTTACTTCTCATTAATATTCATAAGATCCTGCAAAAACTCAAATTATACCATTTCTTTAATTTTTTAATATAAAAACATGCAAGACTTTTTTATTTGAATTTCTCTAAGCATTCGACATATCTAAATGGGTAGAACTTAGCGTTATCGTCAGTTGGCAATTAATGATACCGTATGTTTCAATAATTAGTAGGTCAAGCGAATGCAAAAAATTGCCGTTCTTAAATTTAAAAGGCGGTCGTTACTCTTCATACAATTTTATAACAGCAATATTTTCTAAAAATAGACCTTCGTTTGCACCTATTAATCGGCGGAAGAACTCTGTCATCATGCAATAAACACTTAATCACCAAAAATGATAAAAACACTAATTCAGTTCTCCTTTCTTCATTAAAACAATGTACTCTCGCTTCGAATTTTCAAATCAAAAAGGCGGTCGCAACTTTCACTTTGGCATCAACATCATTGTTATTTCCGGTAGAGGATATAAAGAAAAAAAAAACAAAAGATCGGCGGAGGAACTTTATCCGAAATAGTTAGAATATAAAATTGGCAATTTTTTGTGAGTTCTCTATATAATACTTTATAGAATCTGCCGCCATTAAAGCTCCAATATGGCGAATATGTAAATGAGGAGAATGAACACCATTTCTCCATATGTAGCTGAACGAATCGGGGAACTTGATTTAGAAAGTTTGAAAGATGAAAGTTTGTTTTTTAGACAGATATATGAAGGTCTGTCACTCGCAATCGAAAAAATGCAAAAATGATATTTCAAATGAACAAAACAATAAAACAACATAGAAAAGCAAATGACTTAAATGCTCGGTTAATGACAGTTCAGGAAAACTTGATAATGACTTTTTATTCTTCCGTCAACCGAACAATGGAACATATTTTTAGGAGCAAAACAACGCTACCGAGAGCATAAAGAATATTTCTGCACAATTGTCATTTGTTATGAAAATATTATTAACTAAAGTAACTTAGTTTTTGGGATGCCAAATCGGTCAATGTTTGATAATCGGTTACTCGGACATTTTTTCTGACCAGGTAGGTACTCGGGTACTTGGTAAAATGGTAAATACAAGTCTGTTAATTTTGTTTAACTCAGTTCAGCTGTGTTAAACCCTAATGTTGTTTTTATTATGTTCTTAATAATTTTTTAAAAACATCGAGTCCAACGGAAATAATTAATTGTACTTTATTTATTTATTTAAAAAAATACACACACACAAAAGACATCAATTTGATACACCAATAATTATATATTATTTGCATTTTTGTTGGGAAGAAGCTTTAATCAATCTGCTACGTATCTTTGTAATGATCACACTAGCGATTTTTGTTAAACTCAGTTCAGCTGTGTTAAACCCTAATGTTGTTTTTTATTACGTTCTTTGTAAATGTTTAGAAACACCGAGCCCAACAAAAATGATTAATTGTATTTTATTCATTTATTTTTAAAAAATACGCACACAAAAGACATAAATTTGGTATACCAATAATTATATGTTATTTGCATTTTTTGTTGGGAAGAAGCTTTAATCAATCTGCTACGCATCTTTGTAATGATCACACTAGCGAAGCAGAAGGAATGGACGTCGTTGGGATTGCTTGTCGAATATTATTATTGCATCCCTGCATAGGCACAATTTACTCCGCTTAGCTGACTTTAAACAATTTTATTTGAATCTTCAAAATTACATGTACCAAGATATTTCTTTATACTTTTAAGTCGGTAGCGGCATACCTATGCATGTAGGATTTCGGTAACGTTTTACTATATAATTCAAAAATATTTATAGATAACAGAACTTATTGAAGTCATTTAAAAATAAAGACCGCAATAGGTGAGAAAAGCAGGTGATTGGTCACTAATTACTGTATATAATTAGACAGCCACATGCGATAACATCTGTTTTACATGTGTAGACGACGGCACTCTTATTATCGTATGCAAATTTCAGTTTATTTTTTATAAGCTTTGTGATATTATAGTTTGCAGCTAAGTGTAAAGGTTCACCTTACATCACGATCTAGTTGACAGCTGCGCTCAATGTCAACTGAACACGCCTACTAACCACAAGCTTTACGACAGGAACTTTCTTCTTATCAATAATTGGTTGCTCGTGCAACAGATTATTTAAGTGTCAATGTTGATAATTTGAGTTGACCAATCACGTGAATTGTTTACGCTGGATGCATCTGGCGAAAAAAATCGTGACGTATCATGAACATTTACACTAAACTGCAAACTGTAATGAATATGTGTACTTTGGAATAAGAAAAAAAAAATATACATCCGAGTAACCGAGTACCAATTTAAGTATTCGATATTCGGACGTTATACAGTACCCGGTTAAACGGGTACTCATTAACATCCCTACTTAATTTATATTAACCTCATACTTAAAGTAATGTACGAAAAACATCTTTTTTTCAAAATAGGAACACATAACAATTGGAATGAAAATTATAGACTTAGAACAACATTCCTTATTAATGTGATAGTCTTTCTATAAAAGTAACATTATGAAGGACATATTTGGTTTAAGATATAATTTTTTAAAATTCCTTTTTATGTTTTACACTTACTCAAAGCGTAGTATTTGGTAGAGAACACATCTATAATTTTGAAAATACCATTGTCTATACTGCTCGACACACTTTTTAACCTCAAATGACTTTTCGCACAAAATGATTAATGCATTATTCTTGTGAAGTAGCAAATGAGAATTGAGAAAAATACTGTCTTCAATTTGTTTTTCTTCAAATTTACATTTAAATTCATTGACGACGTTTTATCAATAAACGAGAGTCGTCATTTTCAATTCGATGTATCCCAGTAAGCCTGAAGCAAAAGACAATATGATCTTACATATTTCTTACGGTAGATCATCCCGGAAATACTTCAAGGATCAAAGTTTCATTCAGGATGATATTTGAAAACTTTCTTTGTTCAAAGTGTCAATTTTCACATGGGGATATAGAAAATGATAAATCAACTTACACCTAACACAACGTCATGCTTAGTCTTAAAATACGAAAAGATTGTATTTTAGTGGCAATTGACATTCTTTCATTGATGGCTACAGACGCAAGTTGGAAACAACAAAATAATCGATGATTTAACTTCACTGTTAAAAATCATCCAAGGAAATAATATTAGTATTAATGTATGCACTAGATATTGCGCCTGTGGTTTTCCTATGAAACAGCAGGATTGCATACCAATAAATAACACTCTGTTAACTCTGTATTAATTTGTTGTGATTATTGTTCATATATCAGTATTGAAAATAAAAAGAATAGCCTGGATGAGTATTTCGACCTTTAGGATTTGCGCTGCATTTCCATTATAAATTAAAATGTGTTGTTTCTAAACTATCTGCTTAAAAAGGGTCATATAATTTTATGTAGTTCTTATTACCGTATTTATTTTCACACAAAAAAGACAAATAATTTACTTTGGTAGCTATAACATAACTAGTTTGCTATAAAATACGATTTTTATTTTTAATTAAATCATGTGTTCCCTGCATCTTTTTCAGAAAGATTGTCTCCTCCAACAATGAACGCCATTGCATTCTACGCGTACATGTCTCAGAACACTCCGACAATATCTGTTCAATATCCTTTCATATTTGATGTTGTGAAAACAAACGTTGGGCATGGCTACCATTCCGCTACGAGGGCATTTGTTGTTCCAGAATCTGGGATGTATGTATTCACTTGGACAATGCGAGTTTATGGTGATCATTATCACTCAGCAGAGGCGATGGTTAATACAGATGCACTGGGGGTAATTTACGTTAATACAGGTACTGGAGGAAATCTCGGATGAACAGGAATTGTTGTGGCACACGTCAATGCAGGAGATGATATCTTTGTGCGCACGCATACATCATATAATAAAGGTCCTATTATTAGCGACGCTGCAGGAAGATCGTCCTTTGCAGGATGGAAACTATTCTGAATAGAAATGATAACTGATATCGAAGGAATACCTAGGATAATCCCTGTGTATCACACCAACGAAAGTCTAAAGTGGCAATCCTTCTTAAGTGTAAAAATAAAAACACAACTGGAAACATTTATTCGGGGGATGTCCAAAAGTCCGTGGACAAATGCTTCATTTTCTTACTAAAGCCCGCAATGGCAAGCATTTACAATAATATATCAATATAGACAATAATTTGGTAAATATACAAAAAATAAACAATATACACTATGTAATGAATATTATAGGGTTAAAAATTTTGTATATACAAGCAGCACGGGCCAGTCTGACGTAACGTTAATTTTATTATAACGTCAAAAATATGGATTTTGATTTTTTTTCCCATATGTTCATAGACACGCGCTAATAATTGATTTTTAACATTCAAACAATATAGACGATAATTTACGAGCTTCATTAAGATAAACTAGGCTGCACATCCAAGTCCGACCGCCCTAGATTTATAACAATGACATGAACAAGGATACCCTCTTTACATCAAATAACAGTGATCTTCCACTTCTTGTAGTGTCTTTACAAATAACTTCTTGTAGTGTCTTTACAAATCATTGAAAAATCGTACAAATCAATTAAAAATCAACAAAACATATTATAATAAGTTGTTCGAATAAATATTTTGTGTCTGGCGTCGGTTCAACCATATAAAACCATAATTACATGATTGGATGTCCGATGCTGTCCCGTTCGGATGGCCGACTTCGCTTATTATGTCAATTTGTGAAACATACGTCTTACGGTCTTCGTTATTACCCGAGGGTCTATATAGTAAGCAATATTTAAGGTATCAGAAAATTATGATAACCGCAATATTTGTGATACATTTAAGTTTTTTTAAGCTTTTTCTCGTTTTATAAAGAAAATACAACACTTTATTAACAAGTTCTCACGTGCACTATCGGTGACCTTTAATGACCGCAATTTTACAAAACTATTAAGTTCAAACTATAACAACCAAATTATTCTGATTTAAATTTTCATAACTTCTGTTGTGGTAGACAATAATTACATTTGAACAATTCATTTAAACAAAAAAGCCATTGTCCACGAACTTTATTGATTTCCCTCGTAGGTATGCACTTTTTGAACAATGTACGAGGGTTGTCCCAGAAAAACGCGAACATATTTCATATCTTTTGTTTCACTACGACTATAAAGTTAAAAATTAGCATACATCATGATCACATTTTTTGAATGATCCCTAAAAATTTCAGTGAAGTATCTCTATAAATAAAATTTCCCTCTCAGGTAAACGAATCTATCAAATCAGCTGTCGGTGCAATACTGACGATGTCAAAACGTACCTCGTAGTGTTTACGAATTTGTTCTGGAAACTGTGCCTCTAAAAATTTTCATTTAAGCACACATTCGGCAATGTATTTAATTTTGTTTTAGTTACCAAGTTAAACATCTCAAATACTAATTTTATTAAAAGATTCAGGAGTTAATTCTTTAAATAGAAAATTTCATGATCCCGATAATAAACCCAACTGATCGAAGTGTTTAACAGCGGTCTTCACGTAGGCCTATGACATCCCGCCATTGTCTTTTCAGTTCGTCTTTTTTGAGTGGTATATTCTCTTCTATCGGACAACCTCAAACACCTTCTACTAGATATAAACCTGATTCCCATACTTATGATTGAGTTTTGTCACCGTTAAATTCTTTTTTCTGTATATAAAAGAGTCATATCTCGATTAACATAGTGTTGCTTAATAATTTGGTGCTCCACATTACCGCTTAACGTCACCATTTTTGACAATGTCTAATTCAAAGCGCCTTGGCATATATCGTCATATATTTGTCATTAATAATGTCAAATGAATAAAATTTTTGACACAAGTGCACCATATTATAGAGTTTTTATGTAAATACAATTTTTGACATTATATCGCTATATAGCCTAGTAACAACGAGAACTTCATTCACAATGCTATTTGTAAAAGTCAAAAAAATTGTCTTGGCCGACCACCGATATTTAGCATCATTTAAATGCTGTTTTATATGCATATGACATGCAAAGCCCTATAATATTTTGTCAGAATATCTAAAAGATGATTTCCCATCAGCATGCCAAAAATTATTAGTTTTGGTACAACAGTGTTTGAAATATTCAAAACGTTCGCGTTTTTCTGGGACAACCCTCGTATTGTTTTAATATGTAATATACAAACAGCGTTATATATAATTTAATATTACTTTTCAAGGCTTTCATGTTATAAATGCTTTAAATAAACCATAAGATCAACGTTAAAAAAAACCTGTTGACCGTGTTTCAGTGCTGGATTTATACAAGGTTGATCACTTATTTTCAAAGTGTCAAAAGTTTAGGAACCCTGATCTTTATCAAATGTATCAAAATGATGCATTTTGAAAAAAGTACATTGAGAGGACCATCACATCCCACATAGCTCATTCTGATGAGTGATATGTACAGGAATAACATAGAGGTGCATAAATTAAAACCTATTGACCAGTTATTAAAAAACCTAAGTTAGAAAATGTCCTTTGGCTAAAAAACGTTTGTTGTCTTAAAATTGAGGATGTTGCCTAATAAACACACACAATAAAAATACTTCATTATAAACATACATATTTCAGATAGAGCACTATTACACTGTATCTCACTTTATGAAAATTATTTGTAGATCAATAGCACTTTTCAAAACCTATCACATCTGTAAAATTTATTTATCATTTTATCAATTAAAATTTTTATTTGATTTAGGAAAGCCCTTGTAAAATTGGAGTTTGTTTAGGACCTCCATGTAACACAAAGATATGCATTTATCAAGAGACAGTCAAATCAAAACTAAATTTAATACGGAATTACATATTCTCTCAATTGATATTAAATTATTGCGATAGTATAAATACTTTACAATAATAAATTCATTTCTGTATTTCTATATTCCAAATTCATTAAAATGCATCGTTTGCTCGTACATAGAACAAGCATTCTGAGAGTATTGTATAACCAATACATGCCCTCTTCCTGGAACCACCTTTATCTTTAGGGTGTCATTTTATTAGACCCTGTGTATGAAAAATTGCCACCAAAATATGGACATTACTTGTTTATGGATGAAATGTCTTGGAATTATGTCAATATCCTTTAAAAGAAAGACGACGTCTTTGAATGTTAATTGACACACTTGCATGTTTTGATCAGAACAGCTCGTTTTACGTAGTTAATAAACATTTTTATACCAAAAATTCAACTCGATCTATATCTGTCACTATAAAGCTATCCAGCAAGTTACAATCATAATCTCGTTATGAATATTAATTTAGTGAATCACAACCTTAATTTATTGCCTCACGAGCCCAATTATGAACCCAATAATAAAAAAATTTAATATGCCATAATTCCTTCAAACATCAATGAAGCAGAACGAAATGCAAACTTGATCTATAACTAATCAAGGTAAAGTCTCATGCTATAAATCAGCTTCCATATCTGAGAGCGTTTAGAAAAAATGAAAACCTTGACAAATTGAAAAGTTCTTAATTCCGTAAAAAAATATTGAAGCTGAACGGCATTCAAACTTGATCTGTAACTAATCAAGATACACTCACAAACTAAAAATCAGTTCAATATCTGCAAGCGTTTAGAAAAAAGTTAGGAAAACCAAGTAGGACAGACACACAGACATAGGACAGACAGACGGACGGATAGACGATCGGACGGACCTACGGACGGACAGATACAGAGGAAACCTATAGTCTCCCTGGTTTCATTGGTAGGGGACTAATAAGCTTAATCAATATTATGCCGGACGACACTAATGGAATAGATTTTTTCAATCTATAGCTTTAACTTAGTTCTTTCGTGGGAATATACACAATGTCAATTTTTAAACGCCCTTCCTTCTTTCATTGAAATAGTTAATAACAATATAGCAAAAAAGATTTTTAAAATTGCAGCTCGTATTACTTTACATGTAACCCCCTTCTTCGCAGTCTCGCATTTTAACTATACGATTTCCCATTTCTTTTGCAAAATGATGCATTACCATTTCTCTCGCAATTGCACATTCAAAAGTAAATGATCTTTAACTTTTGTCAATTTTATTTATGTCAATTCTATTTTTATACTTTCAAAAAGCTAATAAAATGAGAAAATCTATAATCTTGTTAAAATATCACGTCACAATTATTTACGCTTAACTTTAGATCACGTTAGAAAGTGCTTGCGGAGAAAATTTCTATTCTGAATATTCTTAAATGACACGAAGATGTTACCAATCCAGTAGTTTTTAAATGGATCATCAAAACCTTGTTTTAAATCTCTCAAAGTCCGATAAAAGTTTGTAGAGCCGACTTGTCTTCTTTGTATTGCCTTTGAAATAGTAATCCATTTATTTGATTTAATAAAAACATGCGTATGTTTCTTATATCGTTTTAAAAACAATATTGACAACCATGCATAAATTCAATATTTTCTTGTGTTAGATAGGGATTCGAAATTGTAATAATCGTTCACTTTTCCCGTTGTGAAACTTTGCTTTTTTTTCTCCCCTTTTTCGCAATTTTACCCAGTTGTACTCCTCCATCAGTACTCATGTCACCATAAACAGACATTACTACTGCGGCTCCCACTAATCGTCCATCCTCCTCCATCTGTACTCATGTCAAAGTAAACATACTTAACTACTGAGGCTCACATATTGCTACACAAATATTTCGTCCCATAAGATGCAATTTTCTTTCGTTAAGATTTAATGTATAATTGATGGTTTCTTTTAAAGTTTTATATCTCTGACTATTAGAGTCAATCATTGCATTGTCAAATGGCAAACCCAAAAATGAAATAATAAAACTTGAGCCAAGAATACAAAACTCCGCATTGGTAATAAGATAGGGGATAGTTTTTTCAGCTAATCCCTGTTGTATGTTGGATGTTCAAAAACAGTAAGATTCATTTCTATATCTAGAGTCAGTGTTGTGTCCCAGTTGAAATACAGAAATATTGCTAATAACAATATTGAACCAGATGACGAGGTTTGCAACAAGAATTGAAATGACTGAAAAAGTTCACGAGAAAGTTTCTTTCAAACGTTTTATTTCGGTAATACGATATAAAATTCAACTCAATCAAAAGAAAAAGTAATAGAATCGCATTTCTCATCGTTGAAAGAATCATTTCAGTTGTTCTTAAGGAAAACAAAACGATGCATTCTATATATATAGCAGCGTAGATGGAAACATGTACCATAACTGCTAGTCCAAATATCTACAGGAAATTATTCTGAGTTTCAGTTTGTTTATTAGATGTCCTTCGGTAGTGAGTCTTCTTCAGCAACCGGACACGATGAGAATAATTAGAGATATCAATCCAAGAGAAACAGATATCATCCTTGCGACCCACGCCCTTGTTTTAGCTCTGTCTGAATACGCCTGTTCAACTGCATTGATTCCAATGATGACAAAAACACCAGACACGAGGTGTGAGAATAACAAGATACTGATAGTTTTCCAAACATTGTTGGATCTTGATCGCCCTGAGAATGGACAAAGCGGTTGCATAAAAATTCTACAGAGCTTTTTCAAGAGCAACATATCTACCATCAAGCTTCATCAATTGTCACCAATTTAATACACGTCGACTGCAAGACAATCAGGAAGTGTTTTGTAGTATGTGTTAGTTGGAAATCAATTGAAAGTGGTCAAGAACCGGTAACTATTCAGAGAAAGGAAACATTTAGGCAATTAGATGGCACTTAAATAGCCGTTATCTTCCCGAAACCTTTTAAATAAAATACATTTAAGTGAATCTTTTTATTCTAAAATCTGAAATGCTAAAGGAGTTTTTTTTGCCAAAAATCAAACATTACTAAATCGAAATATCTCAATCAATTACTACTATTGTATCTTTTGTTTATATCTTGTTTTACACCAAAGGATAATTTGTCAAGTAGAAAATTTAAAAAGAAAATAGAGTCTAGTAGATTTTGTTAGTGACATTCTTTTCTTCTTATAAGAAAATAAAGGATAAAATTGTACCTTTTATCTTTAATAAAGTATACAAAGGTAATATTTAAGGTAACCCGAATTATAAGCGACCAAATATGTTATCTGTTTGGAATTGTTCATAAGTATGATATGTTTAATCTAACAACCAAGCTCTATGATAAACGTGATGAATTTAACTTTTCAATAATCAACTTTCCCTACTATGGCAGCAATAACCTTTCATCACTTGCACACAGAGTTGATTCGTTAGGAAAGAGCATGCTCTAAGTATGAATAATTTTTAAAACGAATTAAATTATTGACGGGCAAGTTGATGAAAAAAGGATATCGGTAGTTTCGTCTAAAGTCGTCATATCGTAAGTTCTATGGACGATACAATAATGGTAGCATAGTACTTCTAGTGATTCACCTTTACAACAGTTACTATTTTTGTAAGAGTTAAAGATAAGGGCTTGATAGACCAATGTTCAATAAATTTATTTATTTGCGAGGATTTTCATAAAATTAAGAAATCGATTATAGTAAGTGTACATTCACTTCTTCTAGGATAAGCATTAAACAGATAAGCACTTAAATTATATCTATTGTTGTTTTTTCATACGAACTTTAATTTTTGAAAAAAATATTATATTGTAAATAAAAATAGTCATTCGTTTGCATACAAAATTAAACTACTTACCTATGCCTTCTTCAGCATTTACGTCTCTCTTTTCAGTAGGGACGGAAAAACTGTCAATTGATATTTGCGTTTATTGACGCCAGCTAAGATTTGCATGAAATATATGGAGATAAAAAAAACAGTATTTCAGATCAAAAGTCCAAGAAACAATTCTTGATGATGAACAGAGCAAACATGGACCTTTAAAACATTAGAAGTTGGATTGGATGCCATTGGTGAGTTAGCATCCATTGCTAACCTGTCACACCCGCTAAGTGTTCCTTGTTACAATCGGGAAATAACGGAAAAAAACCCGTCGTCAATTCAGTGTATAAATAATAAACTAACATTTAGCTATAGAATGAAAAAAAAAAACGTCAATCAGCATTTGACTAAATGATAAATAGAAAATTCGGATGAGGTCATTTTTCAACGTATAGCAGCATTTGCAATAAAAAAAAAGTCATTGCAGCCCGGAGGACCGGGCTGCGCATGCTATATACATATAAGTGTTGGTGTATCGGGATTGAGCTGGGAGAAATTATTCAGAATTAAAGGTTTTCTAAACATAAAAAAGATTTTTAATCACAATAATCTTCCTTTTATAAGTTACGGGATACAAAATATATTTACTTCCATAAAGTGAATCTGTAAAAATATATATGTTTTTCACATTTGATATATAAAGTTGCTTATTATTTACTATCGAAAAAACGACAGGTCCCTTTTTTTTAAAACATGTCGCATAAAAACGTACTCAACACAATTCGTGTTTATATTCTCAAAGTGTAAAAATTTTTTTTTTAAAGCTATGTGATGCATGTGTCTGGTTTCAATTTATATTTATGCAGCCAAATTCACTTGAGGAATTGATACAGTTTAAAAGGGTATCGTTTTTGTTCGATTTCCATCCGACTATAAGTTTTCAAAATATTCTCGAATATCGTCTCAATCATTTAGACGCATGCCTTTTTCACACATATCGAAGCGGTTTGATGATCAAGAATCATTTCCATTGTTTACTTTATTTATTTCCCGGGCGACAATTGATGGTTACATCAATGTTTTCTTTTTCTTTTTGATTTTCGAATATACAGTACGTTTTCAGAAATAAGATATGTGGTAAAGACGTGTTTCAAAGTGCAGAGGTTAACATGGTTAAGGCAATCAATCTTAAGATAAGCGTCACTTATAAATTGATCGACATTTCATGCCTCTTATCAGTCGTGGAGAAGATCTGGAAATGTTGATTTTACTAAGTCTTCTGTTCTATCAGCAAATCTGTTTTGCGTTTGAATATACTGAGGAACTCCGCATGTTAGCGAATAGGGTAGCCCAGTTGGAAGGGACTATTGGAAAAGAACACATGAATTCAGTGCAAAGAGAATTTCAATCAATGAATTTGGAGGTAAAAACAGATATTTCACATCCAAACTACGGCAAAACAGATAATAAACCACGTATTCAGGAAACTGAACTACACGCACCAGACAAAGACACGAACGATTCAAAACTTAAAACTTGTGATGATCGAATTCTGACTTTAGAGAGAACTGTTCGTGAATTATCCAAGCTTCTCAAAAATCAGGAAAACGAAATCCAACATATTCATAATCTTGAAGCAAGACTTAATGAGCAGGAAAAAATCATTTCATATTTAAGAAAGCACATTTCAGAAAATGAAATTAATGTTCAAACATTTCAAAATGAAGAAATGATACGTAAAGGCATAGAAATTGAAGAATCTGATGCATCTCTACTTAATGAATCTGGGATATCCAAAATCCGAAAGACTAAGGAGAAAAACAGTCCTTCCAAAGCAAATATCTACAAAAGTAAGGGAATTCATTTAAACATTCCATTAATTCTTATGAATTAACTGTAGAATATTCAGTGGTGGGATTTGTTGTCATAGAGGACTGAGCGTTCCTACCCTATCGATCACATCCGCCGTTTGCTTCCTGCAAGACCAGAAAATAACGGAAAAATCATAGCTGTTTTAGTGTGTAAATAGTGACCTCAAAATTAGATTAAATTGAAAAACATCTCGTTTTAGAAATTTTTCTTATGTAGAGCATTCTCTTGGGGTTTTGAATCAACTGAGAAATATAAACTCCATTTGCATGTGATAGGCATATGTTGCTGTAAAATAAGTTTACTTTGTTTTATTGACAAGTCAACTCTTTAATCATATTTAGTTGCTAGGTTTCCGATAATGTTTTTAAACATGAATCAAATGAGTCGGACTCAGGGGTGTCTTTTTTCTCTAAAGCTCACAGTCTTCGTATGAATACTAGTATAATAGCATTGTTAACTGATTATGCATCGTTGATGTGTCAAAGTATTGAGTTGGCAAAATAAGTGTTTCTCGAGTCAGACAGTCACTTTAAATTCTGCTTCATATGAAAATAAAAATAACTCTGCTAATATCGGGCGCAACTGAAAACCATTCGAATTCCAACAGATTGTCGAAAGGCAAAAAGTAAACGTTACAGTTGAATGGATTATTCACCTTTTGATTATTATTCCAATAAGAAAAAAAAAAATAAATTTCAAGTTGGTATCATAAGTTTCAATGTTTTCAGTAATAATTTCAATGATATTTCTTTATGTTTTGTTTATTTTCATTTTCTTATTTTCACGAACAAGTATAAGCAAACATTACTTTTCAAAATAAGATAATTCTTATTTTAATCGTTAACGAACAAACTTTCTACTTTATAAAGAGTCTATGTATGCTAGGCTTTGTTCATTTTTCTAAGCTTCAATAAGGTTTATCAGTTGTAAAAAGATTAGTTCAATTTAACGAGGCCGAGTCTAATTATTTCTGCCCTAGGGATTTTGATAATTTTTTGATAATTAATTTTTACTGTTATATTTATTATTTAAGGATTAAAAATTCGAATGTTTACCACTCCGATTTCTTCGGGGGGGAATCTCAAAAGTTGTTAAATTTTACTATTGGACCCTATGGGAATTGGAAAATTGCCAAATTATCACATATTTTCCTTATTTTTTGTATTTCCGCCCTAGGGATTTCTTTTTCATTCAAGTAGATAAAAGTTAATGTAAAAAGTCACCAAATTGTGAAATTTCAAAAATGTTCACCATCTAGGTTGGTCTAGGTAGTAATTACTAAGTCTATTTTTTCGAAGCTCAATTCCTCTAAAATTGCCATATTAAGGTATAAATACATATCTTTGCAGATGAATGATCGGCGCCTACAATTTTTTGGTAAAAATAGCAATTTTTAGATTGCTAGTATGTTTCTTGGGAAGTTCTGTCATGAGTTTTTAGTATAATATCCATGGAAGTCTTGAACATACAAGCGTCATTTTTCAGCGTCATGTATTGCTTACAAAATCCGAAAACAGTGACGTTGTTAGAGCCACTTTAACTTTCTTTTTAGGGTCTTCCATCTTCAGCGGAAGACCCTTCTATTATTCTTCGGTTTCTTTTTTACCTTTTTTCTTTTTATTCTTTTTTCTTCTTACAAAATTTGTGCAAGCGATTTCTCGTTGATGGCTCGTTCGATTTGCTTCAAATTTTCACGGTCGATGCTTTGTCATCTGAAGTTAATTCCGGCAATTTTTTTTTTTGAAATTCACTTCCGGTCGGAAGTTATCGCCCTTTGATCGAAATTTAGAGCACTTCCTTGTCTGTGATGGAACTCAAAAACGGCTCAAGCTAGAAAGCTGAAATTTTTAGTGATGATAGAGGACATGTTGCCATGTTGCACCTGGGTCAGGATATTTTCTGGAAGTGCCTAGTATGGAAGCTCGCTAGGGGTCAAAATTTAGGATACGTTTTATGAGTGATTTCTTGAGACATTTTGCATCATATCTTTTAAAATATAATTATTTTGTTAGAACATACTGAACAACATTTGAGCAAAATATAAAGATCTGTAATATGATATCAAGAAAAATGTGCTGACTCATCAGATTAAGGACTGAAAGGGGCCAACAGTTTTTATTTAATAACTCTTTTAAAGTCAATATTTTGTTATACATTATTGAATCAAAAATGTTAATCTCAACAATCTACAACTATATATAATGATTTTTATGTCATATGAAACATAATTAGGGGCCACAAGGGGTCAGAATGCTAAATCCTTACCGCTTTATATCTCGAAAGGGAGAAATATTTTGATAAGCAATATTGAAGAAAAGATGTTCAAAATAATGTTCTAAACAAATTGCAACCTTTTTTTTTTTGCTAAACGTCCCCATTAAGGAGTTGAAGGGTTGGCCCCTAAATATTTCTTTTGCTAATAGCTCAAAAACGAAAAAGAATTTCTGAACAGTTGTTGAACACAAAATGTTCAAAATCTTAAGAGCTTTAAGAGGAGATCCCGAAAAAGGGGCTGGGCACTCGAATTAGGGGCCAAGAGGGGCCAAAAATCTTCAGTCGATAACTCTTTATCATTTAATATTTTGTTATACATTACTGAAGCAAAGATGTTCATCTCAACCATCTACAACTATATGTTATGATTGTTATGTCGTGTGGTACATAATTAGGGGGCCAAAAGGGGCTAGAATGCAAAATCTTTGATGCTTTATATCTCGAAAGGGAGAAATACTTTGATAAGCAATATTGAACAAAAGATGTTCAAAATTATGTTTTGAACAATATGCAACCTTTCATTTTTTGCTTAACGTCCCCATTAAGGAGTTGAAGGGTTGGCCCCTAAATATTTCTTTTGCTTATAGCCCTAAAACGAAAAAGAATTTCTGAACAGTTATTGAACTCAAAATGTTCAAAATCTTAAAAGCTTTAAGTTAAGATCCTGAAAAAAGGGGCTGAGCACCCAAAAAAGGGGCCAAGAGGGGCACTCGAATTAGACTCGGCCTCGTTAAACAGAACACTTTTGTGTTTTAAAACATTACAAAAGAATGGATATGAGACTTTTTCCTCTTCAAAATTTGTAAGAAAGTGATTTGTTAAAACCAATTGTGATTGTAATAGTTTTTTGCGTATCTATGTATCGAGTTCCGCAATATCAATTATACAATATTCCTGGAAATAAAATTTAAATTCCAATAAATTTATTATATGCACCTCCTTAATATAATTTGCTCTACATCAGAAACTTTTGTAGATTTTAGTTTTAAAGTAACAATCAAGTTTATCGTGTAATTCTTTCAGAGCGATTGCTCTCACCTGTGACAACAACACCATATCCTTCTTACACGATTAAACCCATCGCGTTTTACGCCTATATGTCGCAACACACACCAGCAATATCAATTCAGCATCCCTTGTCGTTTGATGTCGTGAAAGCCAACTTCGGAAATGGTTATCATTCCACCACGGGGGTATTCATGGTGCCAGAAAGCGGGGTTTATGTGTTTACTTGGACGATCAGAATTGGTGAAAGCAATTATCATTCCACACAGTTGATGGTGAATACGGATGAACTGGGTATAATTTACTCACATGTTGGCTCTGGTTCAGACATTGGAGGAACAGGTATTGTTGTGGCGCACGTCGATAAAGGAGACGATGTTTACGTGAGGACACATGCTTCGTGGAATAGTGGAGTTATTTATAGTAACGAGGCAGGAAGATCTTCATTTGCAGGCTGGAAACTATTTTAAGACTTAGATTAAAGATCACAAGAAAATCAAAACCGATTAATTTTAGCAAAACCATGTCGTCAATATCATTCAATGTGACTTTCAGACCACAGGGTCTTGACTCAATCTGAGCAAAATTGAGTATATAGTATAATAGGGGAAAAGGGACCTAACACGCCCCATTAATTTCTGGGTGCCTCGCTTCAAACTCTCAAAACTTTTATTTTTAGTCAAAAAATCCATAAAATGTTTTGCCAGTCAAAAGGCAGAATGTTATCCTTAATTGTCATAAATAAATCGTTAATCTTACTTCATTAAAACTTAAAAAAAATATCCGAACTTCCGAGAATTGGGTCGCCGTCGTTAACCTCGCACCATTTTTGCATGCAATTTTCGTTCATTACCTTGATTTTCACGCACTTGTCATCCGTTGCACTTTATCTTAGAGTAGCGTTTCATAATATAACTCCTTCTGGACACCCTCACAATATTTGAATGACTGTTAATCGTCCGTCTCGAGAGATCACATCCATTTTCACCACCGATTAGCCTAAGAGGTCAATTGGGTCAGCCATATTTGAAAGATTTTGACGTCCCGCACTTAATGACTGGGGTTTAAAAGGTGAAAGACGATTGGACAATATTACTTGGAAAGTTTCGTAATTACTGAATAAATATCGCTTATAAAAATTTTATTGCAATTATATTCGTTGTTAATCGTCTTTCACCTTTTAAACTCCAGTCATTAAGTGTGGGACGTCAAAATCTTTCAAATATGGCTGACCCAATTGACCTCTTAGGCTAATCGGTGGTGAAAATGGATGTGATCTCTCGAGACGGACGATTAACAGTCATTCAAATATTGTGAGGGTGTCCAGAAGGAGTTATATTATGAAACGCTACTCTAAGATAAAGTGCAACGGATGACAAGTGTGTGAAAATCAAGGTAATGAACGAAAATTGCATGCAAAAATGGTGCGAGGTTAACGACGGCGACCCAATTCTCGGAAGTTCGGATATTTTTTTTTAAGTTTTAATGAAGTAAGATTAACGATTTATCTATGACAATTAAGGATAACATTCTGCCTTTCGACTGGCAAAGCATTTTATGGATTTTTTGACTAAAAATGAAAGTTTTGAGAGTTTGAAGCGAGGCACCCAGAAATTAATGGCGGCGTGTTAGGTCCCTTTTCCCCTATTATACTATATACTCAATTTTGCTCAGATTGAGTCAAGACCCTGTGTTTCAGACTTTATTTTTTCATGAATTGATTTTTTTGTATACTAGACTAATAAAGAGGTTTTGGGTTTAACGCTCTATTTTTTTTAATCTGATGCATAGTAAAGTTACGTTATTTTGCATTCTCCACTATATATGGTAATGAATAACTAAAAAATATTTTTCCTGTAATATGAGTCATTAAACTAATGATTCGATGAATGATTGAATGAATAATATGTATTGATATTCATTGACTTGCATGTTAATATTGATCAATGTTATTTGAAATTTGAATATGAGCTAGGTGCAAATTATTCACCTCGTTCCGAATTTCCTCCACGCTTTGAGGAATAAATAATCCATTAATTAGTCCATAAATGCAAATATATAGTATTGAATGTGCTTACCTCTGGTAATTCAGATAAATAATAAATCCAATCACTGATAATTAGGGTAAAACCTTACAGTTACACTCTATTGTTCATACTAAGCGGTAAAAGATATAAAAACATTAGGAATTCCTCGGATGTGTGTAATAGTTAACCGAATCCGACGCTTTCCGACTTTATGGTGCCAAATCGTCATGTATAAGACGCCATGAAGAGTGTAACTGCTTTATATACGACCTCCTCGGACTCTAACGATCAGACGTCTGCAGTTCCACCTCAGAAAGGTTCTGCTAGAGACAGAGAGAAGAAAAAAATGTCATGACACTCACGCAACAAGGTTCAAATGAGTTTAGATAGGTTATTATTTACCTGAACTTATATTGAACTGTTAGCAACGTTTGATTGCTTTATTTTACGCAGACACAAGTAGTGATCTGAATTCATTGTTATTTTTACGCACACCTCCTAACCTCATTAGCATAAATCGGAAGAATTCGGAGATAAACGTAATAAAATATGAACAAAATCCGTAAACGTCAGAACAGCTTTCCTCGCGAGAATTCAGCGAGACCAACATGCTACAGGTGAAAATCGAGAGAGAAATTCAACATGAAAAAAGAGGTAAAACTTTATGTTATCTCGATTAATAAGATTTGTAAATTGCAAAAAGTTGAAAAACAAACGTTTCTTTACCTGAAAAGTGAAAGTAGGTTTGCAGTTTCTTATTCTGTCAAGTGCTATTGCACTTTAAAGTGTCAAAACAGCACCTCTCGATTTTGTAAACATGTTTCCACGTGGAAGGGAGTAGTTGTGATGGTCAAGATTAGCCCACATATATTGATTTAGTGAACAAAAACACTCGTAAGTAGAATTTCATTTATTTTTTCGATTACCTCTAGCACAAAATGGCTAAATATTTTAGGGCATGTTTGTCAAATGCTGTTAATAGCATGTCTAAAATTGAAGAGAAAATGCAGGTGTGCTATAGTTCGTTCCTACTTGTAAGGTAGTCTACTATGCATGCATATGCAGAGTTACGCGTATAAAAGTCATTATTCTTACTTATCAATACCCAGTGATTTGTGAGAACCATATGTGTTTTTTTCAAATACTAAGAGACTAAAATTTAATTCTATCCGTACTCGTGTTGTATGCACAAGAAGTCCTTCCGAATTCCCTCTACACATATACATGTGTACCTGGATAAAGGATAAAAGGTTTGTTTACATTTGTTTGCAGTTTTAATAGTGTCAGCTGTTTATATCAATCATGCAGTTTTCACTAGAGCCTTCTGATCAAAATATGGTTGTTACTTTTCTAATTTAATATCACAGAATTTATGATCAGATGGTGTCAATGCAGTTCTCACATACTTGTGTATATATCAGGTATGAAACTTCACATATGCAGTTGTCGCCCACGTGGCGCAGTGATTAGAGCGTCTGCTCTAGAGTCGGGAAGTAAGGAGTCAATCCTTACATATCGCTAATTCGAATCCCACTGTCGGACATGGAGACCGGTCCTTGGATGAGACCGTATAAACCGAGGCCCCGTGTCGCTGTAGGTGCTGGCACAAAAAAGATTCCTCCCTGCTCAAAGGCCCTCACCCAAAATTTGTAGCCCTCCACCGGCAAGTGGTGGCATCTCCATATGAGTGAAAAATTTTCGAGAGGGACATTCTAAACAACATACAGTCAAGCAATCACATAAGCAGTTTATGAAAATTTTGAATATTTCTATGTGTACCACTATTTTCCCTTTTAAAGTATTGCCCATCTAAAAGTAGCTACGGAAATACATGTAGTATAAATATTACAAAACTAGAGGTACTGTGAGCAATGAGCTCTGACACTAAATGATACTCACCGCTAATTCTCATATGAATATAATGACTGTGTCCATGTTTTGCTATGGGAAACCCCAAATATGTGGTGGATCAAAAAGTAAAATAGAAGATGCACAATTGCAATGTGTAATATAGATTCTGTGAAAGTCATCAAATATCACTCAGTGGTATTAGAGGAATTAGTGGATAAGAGATGGGTACACCAATGAATAACAGACGGACAGACATACCGATTACTTAATATACCCTCCCGCTTTTCAAGGGGGGGTATAATAAATTACATGCATGCGTGCATCAATCTGTGCAATGAAAAGATATTGCTAAAGATAATTTACATTGATGTTTTGCATTTTTGTTTGTAAGAATACATGTATTTAATTTACATATTGTTTGATTATTTCAATGTGTTAAATGAAAAGTAATTTTCTTTTTTGTTTGTCTATTGCAGGTACAGCTGTAGAGTACATTTTGAACAGCCATCTCCAGGTATGACAAAAATAACACAATTGACCCTATAAGGTTGAATAAACAAACATTATTGAATTTAGAAAATGTATGTAATGAAGCACAAATGTGAAATCATTGTAGGCCCAGGCTAGAAATAGTTCTCTTTCACTGCTCACTCAGGCTTTTTACTGGTCAGATCATCATAATATCACTATCCCACTCCCAGGCTACTAGACTTAATAAAAAGAGACTGACCCAAAACCATAATAATAATAACTAGATGAGATCTCGTTGCGAGCAACGAGTGGGTCTTCCGTCCAATTCTTGATGAGATGAGATAAGATTTTGATTGCGATTTTCATTCTAAAATAATGATTTACCACAATCTGTAAAAAGACATTGAACATTAAAGTCTTTAAAAAATCGGCATTTTGCCCCTAACGGCCCCTAATTTTAGGAATCGGCCCTCTTTTTTCATATCATTTTAAATATCTTAAGATTTTGAACATTTTGTTGTCAACAATTGTTCAGAAATTCTTTTTCGTTTTTGAGATATTAGAAAAAGAAATTTTTAGGGGCCAACCCTTCAACTCCTTAATGGGGACGTTTAGCAAAAAATGAAAGGTTGCATATTGTTTAGAACATTATTTTGAGCAACTTTTGTTCAATATTGCTTATCAAAATATTTCTTCCTTTTGAGATATAAAGCATCAAAGATTTAGCATTCTGGCCCCTTGTGGCCCCTAATTATGTAACATACGACATGGAAATCATAATATATAGTTGAAGATGGTTGAGATGAACATCTTTGCTTCAGTAATGTATTACAAAATATTAACCGATAAAGAGTTATCGATTGAAGACTTGTGACCCCTCTTGGCCCCTAATTCGAGTGCCCAGTCCCTTTTTCGGGATCTCATCTTAAAGATCTTAAGATTTTGAACATTTTGTGTTCAACAATTGTTCAGAAATTCTTTTTCGTTTTTGAGATATTAGAAAAAGAAATTTTTAGGGGCCAACCCTTCAAATCCTTAATGGGGACGTTTAGCAAAAAATGAAAGGTTGCATATTGTTTAGAACATTATTTTGAGCAACTTTTGTTCAATATTGCTTATCAAAATATTTCTCCCTTTCGAGATATAAAGCATCAAAGATTTAGCATTCTGACCCCTTGTGGCCCCTAATTATGAACCATACGACATGGAAATTATAATATATAGTTGTAGATGGTTGAGATGAACATCTTTGCTTCAGTAATGTATTACAAAATATTAACCGATAAAGAGTTATCGATTGAAGACTTTTGGCCCCTCTTGGCCCCTAATTCGAGTGCCCAGTCCCTTTTTCGGGATCTCATCTTAAAGATCTTAAGATTTTGAACATTTTGTGTTCAACAATTGTTCAGAAATTCTTTTTCGTTTTTGAGATATTAGAAAAAGAAATTTTTAGGGGCCAACTCTTCAACTCCTTAATGGGGACGTTTAGCAAAAAATGATAGGTCGCATATTGTTTAGAACATTATTTTGAGCAACTTTTGTTCAATATTGCTTATCAAAATATTTCTCCCTTTCGAGATATAAAGCATCAAAGATTTAGCATTCTGGCCCTTTGTGGCCCCTAATTATGTAACATACGACATGGAAATTATAATATATAGTTGTAGATGGTTGAGATGAACATCTTTGCTTCAGTAATGTATTACAAAATATTAACCGATAAAGAGTTATCGATTGAAGACTTTTGGCCCCTCTTGGCCCCTAATTCGAGTTCCCAGCCCCCTTTTCGGGATCTCATCTTAAAGCTCTTTAGATTTTGAACATTTTGTTTTCAACAATTGTTCAGAAATTCTTTTTCGTTTTTGAGATATTAGAAAAAGAAATTTTTAGGGGCCAACCCTTGAACTCCTTACTGGGGACGTTTAGCAAAAAATGAAAGGTAGCATATTGTTCAGAACATTATTTTGAACATCTTTTGTTCAATATTGCTTATCAAAATATTTCTCCATTTCGAGATATAAAGCATCAATGATTTAGCATTTTGGCCCCTTGTGGCCCCTAATTATGTACCATATGACATTAAAATTATTATATAAAGTTGTAAATGCTTGAGATTAACATTTTTGCTTCAGTAATGTATAACAAAATATTGACTGATAAAGAGTTATTGAATAAGAACTGTTGGCCCCTTTCAGCCCTTAATTTGATGAGTCAGCACATTTTTCTTGATATCATATTGAAGATCTTGATATTTTGCACAAATGTTTTTCAGTATGTTTTAACAAAATATTTATATTTTAAAAGATATGATAGAAAATGTCTCAAAAAATCACTCATAAAACGTGTCCTAAATTTTGACCTCTACCGAGCTTCCATACTAGGCACTTCCGGAAAATATCCTGACCCAGGTGCAATATGGTAACATGTCCTCTATCATCACTAAAAATTTCAGCTTTCTAGCTTGAGCCGTTTTTGAGTTCCATCACAGACAAGGAGGTCCTCCAAATTTTGATCAAAGGGCGATAACTCCCGACCGGAAGTGAATTTCCAAAAAAAATTTGCCGGAATTAACTTCAGATGCTAACGCATCTACCGTGAAAATTTCAAGCAAATCGAACGAGCCATCTCCGAGAAATCTTCTGCACAAATTTTGTAAGAAGAAAAAAGAATAAAAATAATAATAATAATAAAGGTAAAAAAGAAACCGAAGAATAATAGAAGGGTCTTCCGCTGAAGACGGAAGACCCTAATAATCATGATAAATGTAATAGTTATATTTTGTTTATTTAATGTGATACACAGTTGGACAAATAATTAATCTAAACAAAATAGGATTCCGAAATGACAGAACTTTGAAACAAGCCTGTCAAGTTACTAGCCCAACTATAATTGTATTTTGTTATACATGTACATAGAACTGACCCAAAAGACAGATGCCCCCTACCATGTACTATTCTAGGTAAAGCAAAAATCACTGACCCCAGTCCAGTGGGCCTTCAACAATTTTTTGCCTTGCATTGTAAAGTCAGCTATCAAGACATTCCGTCCTTTTTTGTTCTTTGTTTTTTTAATGATATGCACCATCCCACACAAATTATACACACAAGAAAATATATTTTTTTCTCTACTTTTTAAATATGGGCTTCACTGATCTTTTCATGTATTCAGTGTATGTCTTTTCTTTTGAAGAATGACATTGTTGATTGAATTTAAAAATGGTCTTCAATTTGTATGCATATGATAGTGATGATACTGTATTAAATGCACAAAAACTATAATTTCATTAAAATAAAACAAAAAAAGCAAATATAAACTTTTAAAAAAGAAAATCAAATCAATTCATTTGTAATGTGCAATGATCAAATGTTTCTTGCAGGATATACTCTGAAGACTGTGATTTGCAAGTTCAAGATTTGCCTGTTGTGAGTATTGTATATGTAACTGTAAAAGGAAAAATTATAACATATTTAATATGCAACATTATTATTTAATTATTATCATCCTGATCATGCTGATTGGAATAAACAAATAAAAATATTAAGCATGCCCAGTTACTCCAATATCTACATGTACAGGTATATCAATGTATAAAAGAATCCTGTGTAAAGTTATATATAGTTAGAGAGAGAGAGATGTTGATAAAACGGTCAATATAATTGAAAATCATGCATCAGTGATTTTTGTTTTTGTTTAATTCTCAAAAGATTTAATCACATTCTGTTCTATTTTCAGCAGATACTTCAATAATAAAGAATGGGTGAAAAAAATTTCACATTATCATGCTGCATAATAGTACATGTAAGTTCAAAGGGAGAAGAAAATCCATTAAAACTTTTACAAGATAATTTATAAATACAGTTGGTTGTCTGTTTCAGCAAACAATTTAATGAACTGAAAATTATGTTGATACATAATCAGCATATTATCCAAACTGTAAATGATTGCATTACATATTTTTCTGATTTGCCTGTAGTGCATTGATATTTGTCAGTATTTTTCATTCAGTTTTCTTTCCACATTATTGCAAATGCTTGTATTTTATATGGATTAATTAAATGTAGAGGATTGTATTAACTTATTAATCATATTTGGAGTTCAGCTGTAACAAAACAAATTGATGAAAGCTTCAACCACGAGAATCTAGGAAAGGATGTCAAGTCCAAAGAGAAGGTATGTTGATTACTGGTGATGATATGTTATTGATGTACAGTAAAACTCGGTTATAACGAAGTCACTGGGACCTTTGAAATTACTTCGCCATATCTGTAATTCGTTATAACCGTGTAAGAAAGTCATTAAATTTATATAGCTGGTGCTCCAAGATGACTTCTCTATAACCGTAAATTCACAATATCCGTGTTCGTACTAAACGAGTTTTGCTGTATATAGAGTACAGCAATAAAATAGAGAGAATAATAGTAATCCGTAGTTAAAAAATTAAATCTTAAATCTTTTCAAGAATAGACAGATCATTATTAGTCACTCTGAGATAGTTAAGAGCAGATTTAGATTTGTTCAGATCATATAGCTATAGGGTAGGGTGGGTCCAGTGGGGGGTCAATGTTTTATTCTGGAATATTTAAGGCTGAAGCCTTTTATTACGAAATATATCAAGATTATCAGGGCCACGATACATCATATCTTTTGAACGAATACATCCTAGTACAGAATCCCAGAATCAAGGGTAATGGATGTGCCATAATTAGAAACAGAATGTTTATCTTGAAAGTTCTATGTAAATATTGGAAAATCATTTTGTTTATTTCTTGGCTTTTAAGTTAAGTAGAGATTAAAATAATACAAGTTTTCATAATTTAAATACCTATTTTATGGAGACTTTAGTTGATATCTATGTAAATTTTCAGAAAGAAAGCAATATTTTGGGGTTATAAAAAAGGGGCATAACTCTCATCATGATAGTAATGATGGATTTCAGATAATGTGAAAAATGTGTACTGTTGGGAAACAAGTGATTACAGTGCAGTCTAAATGAGTACAGTTAAACAACAGTATCTTAAAATCAAAAAAACTTTGACAACCTAGGGTATGTTGACGTTCATGACAGTATTACAAATTGGATGAATGATTTGCAAACACTTGGAATTGCATATATATATATATATATATGATTTACTTTTGTTAATTTAATTTGCTCATTTTGCACATATCTCTTTCTCATGCAGATTATTAATGAACAATGATAGATTGAATTAGCAATTGTAAGTGGCATACATGTATATGAATTTTATGTACTCTGTTTAGAGTTGAACTTTGGTATATATTCTTGACAGTTGACACTGAGTGATATTTTGAACACATTGAGATATCAAAGTCATTTTAAAGTCCCTTGAACGACATTTTTTTTTCTATATATCTTACCCTGAATCTCTTGGATATCTCAGTTTTTTCAGCAGTCCCATGAGCATTTCAAGATAACAAGTGTGACTTTATTATATTGATTCAATTAATTTATGATGAATTATAAAAATATCAATCATATACTTTTATGTTAATGCATTAACATTTTATATTTTTCAGGCCATATAACAAATGGTTGCTGAATTCATGAAGACTAGCTGGGATGATACAGTACTTTTCTACTCATATGAACCATATCTAAACATCATTTGAGGATCCCTTTCTCAGAAAAAAAGAATTTGCATATTCAAAGACTCTGTAGTTTATTGTTTATTTGTACGTCTTGAGAAATTTTCACTCATATGGGGATGCCAACATTTGTCGGTGGAGAGCTGCAAATTTTGTCCTTTACTTGGCACACATGGCTAATTGAGCAATGAGGGATCTTTTTGGTACTAGCACCTACTGCAACACAGGACCTCTGTATATACAGTCTCTTCTATGTCTGACTGTGGGATTTCGAACCAGCAATTTATGGATCAACTCCTTACTCTTGACTCTCGAGCAGATGCTCTTGCCACTGTGCCATGCAGGTGACTTCATAGGTTATAAAATGATAAGATTTATAACTTAAAACTGATTTTTTTTAATTCAATCACAGTATAGAAAATGTTTGCGAAAAAGGGAGGTAATAGCTACCTGTAGCTCTCACTGGTATTGCATGCTTAAACTATATGAATTACATATTGTAATTACACATGTATTTTAAACCAGATCAGTAAAGAAAGAAACACTTGAATATTTTTACCATGAATTTTATTATAAGGTTGATTATCTTTAAAAATGGAAGTATAATTTTTTTTTGAGTAGGAAAAAAAAATATTTAGAATGTACATGTGCACTTAATTTTGTTTATTAAAAATAGTCAAAATTTGGAGATCTTGTGAAGGGGATCTAAATATTGATATATAAATTTTTACTTCATTTTTAAACAGCATAATCTTTATTATAACATATGCCTGTAATATACAACTTATTTGTTGTTGAACATTCCATTGTCTGTCTACATGTAGTGCTTAGTAAATTTATTGTAAATAAAAACATGATTGAATGCTGTTTGTTTACATTGTCTTTTTTTCAGTATGAATCATGATATATAAATGGTGTGCATATCAGTTTAAATTATTTTTGTTGAATTCAGTTAACAGAAAAAATTAATAACTGAATATGATTATGTAGATAGATACTTTCCAGAAATATTTACATGCACTAGTAGCTGCAGATATGTAGCTTATGTGAAATCAGGTATAATTTGAAACTCAATTTACCTGTATTTATTAAGCAGAAATTTAGTGAACACATTCATATACCTCTGCAGTATTTTATACTGAAAATACACTGTGTTAATGTTTTACTTATTCAACATAAAAATTGACTAGAAGTGATCTTAATGAAATAAAACATATCTCACAATATCCCCCCCCCCCCATTTATCACAATTTAAATGTACATAAATTGATAAAAGAAACTGACTATACCATTAAAGAAAATCTTGAGTTGTCTTTCCTTGTTTAAAGAAAATAGCTGATGCAATGAATGCTCCCTTGGGTTCATGACCCTGAATATTAATAAGGTTGGGAGGTGTGTTACTGTTTAGTAGTATTAACTTAGGCACAAGACGTGACCTGAACTTGATATTCATTACTCCTGACATTATTATTAAAAATGCATGGTGCAATATATTGAGTTTGGTTGAAATATTAGCATTACTTTTTGTCCCTATACAGATAGTTGTTTGCTATAACTTTTGAATGTTATTAACAAAGGCTTGGCGCATTACATTGAGAAAACAGCATAACTTCTGTCCCTATACAAATAGTTGTTTGCTATAACCTCAGACATTTTATATTCATACTCACTTAGTGAAGAAATCAATAGTTCAATCTTCAATCAAGACCTAGAAATATTACGTCTATTCGCATTTACTAAAGGGCTTGTTTAAGAGAGGTTTTGTTGGAAAGGGTGGTTGGTTGGTTTTTAATTCAGGTGATGACTGCAGAGCCAAAGAAGTGTTTTGTGTACATTTATTCAAATGAAATATGAAAAACAAATTATATCCTGTTGTCTTTTGTCAACATTGAGGAGCCCCACAATGTTACCCCGGTAAACACAGACAGCCGAAAGTCATAACAGCTTTGTTAACCAAACTTGTGAAAATCATGTTTTCTGTCTTAGGTAATCTGTTGTTATTGTGGATTTCATTATTCAGTGAAAATCAATCAATGGTTTAAAATCAATCTTATATTTGATCCTTGCATGAGCGTCTAGCAAAGAAAAAAGGAGTACAATGCGTTGTCATAAATTCTATATATCTTTTTGTAAAATTAATTTGCATGAAACTAAGAAGTTATTCCCAATCGCTCTTCACCTCCGTCAGTGAAGCCAAAGTAATTGATAGGTCAATCAGATAAAATTAATAAAACAAGAATTTTTTTAAAAAATCTATTATACAAAATTATTTTTATAAGTTCCAGTGGTCCGGAGCACTGGTAAATAATTGATGAATGAAAACGAGACAAAAATACTTTCCCTTTTTACGATACTGTATACAGGGAAATTTTCGCCTCAGTAAGCATTTGACTCTATGATATATTGTATTTGCTGACAACGTCATTGTATGGACCATAGAACTTACGAAATTTTGAATTAAAACGTTAGTCAGCACATCACTTAATGATATTGTAAATGCCGATAAGAGCATTCATTGATTAATCGTTTGCTATATGCACAATCATTCGCCACGACAAATTAAACTCAAAGCTTTTTAATATCATTGACAGCTGCCTTTTCAATAAAAATGGAACTCGTAAATTACCTGGTCATTGGTCATTTGCAAAATTATTTTGTTAAAAAAAATTCTAATTCCACACACAGGTACTGAAGTTGACATTAAAGAGATGGTTGAGGTTCTGATTGACAATATCTATGTGGTTTTGGAGACCAGATATTCCAACAATCAAATGGAAATCCCATTTGTACCAACGTGTTGTCAATTAACAATGGTCATTTCAATTCGTACGTCGATACGACATATCCTGGTGAGCTTGAGATTTAAGATACCACAGAATCGAACATATCTGTTTCATACTTGGATATTTTACTTGAAAAAGATGTTAATGGTAATCTAACAACCTAGCTATGTGATAAACGTAATGACTTGAATTTTTCTATCGTCAACTTCCCTTACTTATGCAGCAATATGCCTTCATCACCTGCATACGGAGTGTATACATCTCAGTTGATTCAATACGCAAGAGCATGTTCTATGTATGAACAATTTCTAAAACGATGTAAATTATTGACAAGCAAGTTGATGAAACAAAAATATCAGCAGTCTCTTTTCAAATCATCATTTCGTAAATAATTTCTATGGTCGATACAATGAACTTGTCAGCAATTTTTCATTGAGCCAAATGCTGACTGACGTTTTTAATACCAATTGTTAGTCCATTATTTATACTCTGAATTTACGACGGATTTTTCCGTTATTTCCCGATCATGACAAGGGTCACACGGTTGGTGTGACCGATCAGCAGTTTATGCTAACTCCTGCATTGCACCTGATCTCACCTCTGATGTTTTGGAGGTCCGTGTTTGCTCTGCTCCTATTTTATATTGTTTTTTGGACTTTGATATTGAATACTGTTTGTTATATCCATTTTTGTCTGTTTACATCCTTATCGAGAATTTTTCACTCTGATAGAGTAGCTTAATAATTGCATTGACCATAGAACGTCGGAAATAATAATTTCTAACGAAACTGCTGATTTTCTTGTTTCATAAATTTTTGTCGATAATTCACTTTGTTTTCGAAACTGTTCATGTACACGTTGAATGTGCTCTAAGGTATCAAATCAACTGAGAGATATAAACCCCTGTTGCAGATGATGAATATATGTGCATATGTAAAGGAATGAACGTTTAAAATGTGAGTCACCTCTTCTAATATAAAGCTTGGTTGTAAGATTACCTTACCATTGACGTCTTTTTGAATTAAAATATCTTTATATAAAACAAATGTGTCACACTCTATGATATCTTTCATTTCAATCTTTCGTTTATATATATCGTATCGACATAAGGATGGAAATAACGATTGTTAACTGACAATATCGTCGATATATCTAAGTGTCCAGTTGAGGGCCGCATCAAGTATTTTCTTCTTTTCTTGTATAAAGGTTTTGACAAATTCTGCCTCATTTGAATACAAAAATAGGTCTGCTTAAGAATTAGGCACAATTGGCAGGGTTCTCCATCATTTCAAATTTAACTGTGGTGCAAAAATTGCGCGAAGTTCCTATATTCGCTGTAAATTTCGTGACGAGTTCAAGAAGGCATCCCCAAATTGATCGAAAAACACACATCAAGAAGGATATGGAGATAACGAACAGTATTCAATCTCAAAGTCCATAAAACAGTACAAAATAAGAGCAGAGCAAACATGGACCCCCGAAACATTAGAGGTGGGATCAGGTGCCATGGAGGAGTGAGAATCCCCTGCCGAAACACTATTCAAATACAAAAAGCATTTATTATGATTAAAATATATTTATTGATTTTACCTTGTGTAGAAGAATGATATGGAGATAGTGAAGAGTATTCAATTTCAAAGTATTCAACCATATCTACAATATATACTGTGAAGAAAAAGTCCCCCCTTCTTAAACACACATAACTACTACGTAAATGGATATATGGTCATAGAATCTGAAAAAAAGAATCAGTAACAACATGTTTTAAGTTATTTAGCCATAATTTAACAAATGATTATTTTCAAAAGGTAAATATTAACATACCGTGTTCATTAAAGATCGCTAGAGGAAATTCTGGTAGGTCACGTAAGGCACATACGGTGTTTTGACTTGCAATGCAAGTGCAATGTTAGAAACATGGTTAACTTTAGAACTATTTAAGCATAAACTAATTGATATTAAATATTTTTTTTGCAATTATCGTGAAGTGTGAAAAAATCGCTTCATGTGTCAAGCGAGGTCTAGAAAATTATTGATTGTGCACGCCAATCAATGGGCCGTTTCTCCAAAAAACACATGTCTACAAA